ATTGCTATATATTTTTAAAAATTGTATAAAAAGTAAACGAAAATTACTTTGGTTACATTCTTTAATATAATGAATTATGTGTTTCGGAGAAATATATAATAATCGGTTTTTATTCATCCATTTTTGTACTCACATCATATTAAAAAATGCAATCAAAGTAATTGCTGGTTACTCGGTATTTTTAGAGATAAATTTGCAAAAATAAATTATTATAAATAAATATAGTTTTAAAATTAATTTGGAAAATAATTGTATAGATTTAAAATAAAAATGGATATAAAATATAAAAACATTCTGTATTTATTTATATTATATTCGTCGTCTTTTTAATTTGTAATGGCCATACGCTAACGTATTAAAGCCATCGTACATTTTAATTCTTTTATCGGCATTACCATCGAGTATAAGTTTGTGGACTGTTTTAGAATAAACAAAATGATTATTTGATTGTATCAAGAATAACGGAAAGCTTTATCAGAATATATCTAAACTATTATTAATGTAAGTATCTAATATTTTTTTATAATCATCAAATCTCATATATGCTTATCTATCACATACTTTATACACCCTTCGCTTTTTTAAATTCAGTTTTACAGCGTTTGTATGCATACAGAATTTGGGACGTAATGCAAGAAACATCAGTATTTAGTTTTATTAAAAACATTTAGCATATTTCCATCCCTTATAAAATTAAAATTAAAAAAACCTGTATATGATACAACATTAGACGAAATTAAGTGTTATAAGTCACGAGAACTTATAAAGTATAACGTTATAGAACTACATAAAACGATTTATAAACTATGTAAACGAATGATAATATTATTTACCTTTCGTGTTTATCTTTGTTTTCTATATCCTCCGTCTGGTAATGCTGACGCGTCTAGTAGTCAGTGCAGTTTTCTGTTATAGGTAATTTCCAATTATATGATATACAGTCTTGTTTAATATTAATATTACTGGTTGTTAAGTAGAGACTTTTTCACTTCCGAATTTAGCGCATGCGATTAAATTCTTATACAGTTTCAACTATAATTTATTAGTTAATATAAGTAATATGTCATAAGTTATAATTAATCATTTTGTTTAAAAAGAATTACTTTATCCGGTTTTTTCAAAATTTTTTTTGATAAAGATTGATTTTTCTTTTTCGTCATTAATTTAATTTTTTTTCCAACTGGTTTCACCATTTACTCATCATTACTTGATAAATTCAATCCTTTCCTGGTGAACATAAATCATAACAAGAATACATGTAAAATTTGTTTTTTTTTTTTTAATAATATGGCTCTCAATGAAAAATTGAAAAAAAGTATGGCCCGCATGGTTAAAAAAGTTACCAACCCCTACCCTAAAGGATAAAAGAGATTCGACATCTCTTTTGTTGTACCTTTTGAGAGTTTCATCATTCCCTCACCGCCGCCACAGTATGCTAAAATTTCATCAATTTTTTATAAGTAGGTATAGTATAGTACCTACGACCCTATTGTGATATAGTATTAGAATATTCGGTCGTTTTTCGTTTTACAAAGATTATTTCAATAATATGAAATAGATGGTGGAGGGAGGAAAATTCGAATACACGGTGACGGAGGTAAAAACGTTTCTCCAGATTTTATAGGAGTACTGGAGAAATGCTTCTACCTCCCCCCCCCCTAAATAATATTTTGTTAATTCTTTTAAAAATATAACCGTACAAAGTTCATATAAATACCATAAAAATATTTATGAAAAAAAATGTAAAAAAAAAATATTTATAGGAAAAGGGGTACACGTGTTTTTTTCGGTCCTATCTCCGTTTTTTTTTTCGTTTATCTTGTCCGCGTAAATCGTCGACGGTGCACCCATTTTAAATCCATAATGTTACGACTCATGCATCACGCGATCTGTGTATTATAATATCCACACGGCGGCGGTCGGAATACGGCATAAGGAGTCCCGGGTATTATAGGTGAGGCACGTCGGAAGTTATAGTCGGTGTCGTTGCGCAAACACTGCAAACGCTGCAGCGCACTTTGTCGCGGCGGCGGAGGCGGCTTTCCGAGTTGTTCGCCAACAATCGCCGGGGCTACGGGGGGGAGGTCGAAAAGGGCCCGCGGAGTCGCGGCCGGGACCGAAAGTTCGCGCGGATTCCCGTGCACAAACACCGTGGCTCTCACTCGAACACACGCCGTTTTCCGCCAATATAAATCTTTAACGAGCTCCGATTGTCATTATATATCCGGAGGAAAGTTCCCGAGGCGACCGACACGCCTACACGACGACGACGACGGCGGCGGCGGCAGCGAGAGAGTCCTAAAGCCCTTTCCGAGTTCGATTCCTCTCGCTCTACAGCTATATATATATTATATTATATGCGCGCGATCTCGTATATGTGAAGCATATATGTGGGTACATTGGTAAATCCTCGAAACACTCGGCTCGTATTATACTTATTGTATACGCGCAATAAGTTATAAATTAATCGGGTCCGTTGGTCGGGGATCAAGAGCGAAACGCCGCAACAAATATACGCGATCGCGCACCGTGGCGGTTTACCTGACAAACGTTTTATCGGTTTTTTTTTTTTCTTTTTCTTTATCTTTTTGTTCCGTCGAATCGGGGTTTCCGGCATTTTCCCCCTGTATCGTTTTAAAAGTACCTGTCCGTTTCGATACCGACGAAAACGCCGCCACCTCAGTTTGTAAATGGTTTTTTATTCAAATATAATCACGCTCGACAAACCTATCGATATTTATTATTGTTTTTTTTTATTTTTTTTTTTTTATAAAAAAAAATCAATTTAAATTTCCGGTGCACTTATTTACTTATATAATGTACCTACGTATATTTAATTTAGCGAATAAACTTTCGATAACAGAGTAAACATTTCTCGCGTGTTATCCCAAATAAACCGTCGCAATCGAAGGATTTTCCGGATACAGAATCAAATCGACAAATTGTGTTTCGTATTTATTTCTACAATTAAAAATAAGTCGATACTGCTCACGAGTAGGCCACTGTTGTAGGTGGGTATTTAGGAAGGTGGTTATACAAGGGTAACAAAGTTTATATACTGAATGTAACGAAAAATTATTGCAAATGAAAAAACGATTCTGAGCGAAATAGTTTATTATTCGTTTTTTTTTTTTTTTTATTGTTGCCGAGAGAATCCAGAAACCAAAAAAATCAATAAAAACAAAAAAGGTCCTAGAAGGTAGAAAGCTAAAAATGTCGAGTACCACCAAGTAAAAATTTCGCATCTTTCGAAGAACTACGTGAACAAATTAAAGCATTTAATACCTTACCAAAAGAAAAAATGTTTATTAATTAAGAGAGGATACTAATATTAAATCAGTACTTAAATAAATGGAGGCGCCAGGGGACGGAGCTCCTCTACAATTTTTTTTTTTTTAGCGTCCTCTTACTAATTATTTCTATTGAGACGGAAGGGTGATTCCTCTTGAAAATAATGATATTTTCAAACAACATATATTATCAATTCAGGTGCCTAATTTTAATTTTAGATTCTGAGTGGCACGAAGATGCTTATGATTTTACAAAGATGTTTATTTTTTTTTTTATCTATGCGCAAATTCTCGACTAAAAGTCTTGCTCAGATTTTTAAGTGCAGCACATTTTCTGAAAGGAAATTTGATGTAAGAAGGTACTTTAAGAGGGTTATATTTCGATTTTCCCAAGAGTTTCCCAAGAAATGTGAAATACGAAAAAAAACGGGAAAATATAAGAAATGTATGCATTAGTTAAAATATATTACGATTTTATTTTAAATTTATCATTCAATAGTAAATTTTAAATTATTATTATATCTGTGTTGTGTGTTTTGTCTAAGAATGTCCCTATGTCTAAGAAATTTAATCAAGATTTAAATATTAACATTATTGTAGTATTTTACGAAAATTATAAAAAATACAACTTAGCCAAGAATATTATTGGGTATTTTATTTAAAGCTTTCTGCGGATTAACTTCAATCATTACAAGGGATGCATTTTTTAAAATAAAAATCACGGATAGCTTTTAACGGAATCCTTTTTTTCAAATAGAGCACAGTATTTAATTCTTACTTTATCTAACACGTCATAGATACGCAGCAAAACAATTTAAACCAATTTTCCTTCAATCAGTCCAGACCATGTAGCGAAGGGAATAATATTCGGAAAACGGATTTTAATACAGCGTGATGAATACTTGAGATCAGTAAGGTGACTTTATCTTGATTCAGTCTCTAATTTTTAAAAATTCTATTTGAAAGTTTGATTAACTTTAAAAACGGTTAGGTAAATAAAAAAAATTAATTAATTAAATTAAGAGGCATGGTGTACAACCTCGTGTAAATTCAAATCTATTTTCAGAATTTTGAAACGAATTGGATTCGAAACCCTTCAAAATATTATTATCACTGTACATTCGTATATATACAAGTACTATTAGAAGTGATTAAAACTTCAGAAATCCTTATAATATGCATATAGTCTCATATTTGTATATTTTTCACGTACCGAATCATTAAACTTAACTGTTTTACTACACTAATAATATCTGTAGAGAATCAAAAATAGGCTACACAGTTACTGGTTCACAAGTACCCTCCAGAACCGTACAATTTTCCACAGCTACGTAATTATAATGTATAGTAAATATATAGTAATTATAGTTAATATTCGATCACCTATACAAAAATAATTTATAATAAATAATTCTAATTTCATTGGAGGTCTAAATTATATATACATATAAGCAGGGCTGTGAATTTAATGCACCAAAAAACTATTAAATATGCACTAAAAAATGTCAAAATATGCATGAAAATATGCACTAAAAAATATCAAAATATGCACTAAAAATATCAAAACGTGCATAAAAATATGCTATTAAAATTTCGTAAAATATGTACTAATTTTTCAAAAATATACAAAAAACAACAAAAAATATTTTTTTAAATACTAAATATAATTGTTAAAAATTTATGGGTATTACATGTTTATATAAATTTAAATTAATTGCGATCTTCATCATCGTCATTTACGGCATCTATATAAAAAAAATAAATATAAATATAAATATAAATTTAANCGTTCTACATCTGCGGATGTTATTGGTGCAAACTTAAAATACGCCATGTCGCTACTGGTTAAATCTTCTGGTATATCCAAATCACCTACATTCTCTTCTTCGCCAGTTAATATTTTTGAAATATTACAAACAATTTGAAATCCTTTGTTTTTGTTGAGAACTGTTTGTAATTTTTTATTAATATCAATTCCAGCGGTACCTGTTAATTGACTAAACTTTGATGAAATATCTTGTATGATTGCAATACCTTCAGATAAGGGTATACCTTGTTTTTGTAGACGCGTTATAGCTATGGGAAGACATGCAAAATTCGAATGTATAAAAGTCAAGTTTCCTTTCATTTGAGTAATTTTAAAATATTTTTGAGCATTTTTTATGGAAAGCGCATCATTCTCATCAAAACTTTCAATTATGTTTTTTACAGTTTGAAAGTTTTCACTATAATATAATACGGCAGAAATCCACGTACCCCAACGTGTCAGAATAGGTTCAGGAGGTAGTGATATATTCGGTGCATCAGTATGAAATTTTTGAACACGATAAGGCGCCTTTTTGAATACTCGTTTAACATTTGCTACCAGTTTATCAACTTTTGGAAATTGAATACGTATTTGTTCAGCGACTCTATGTAATCCATGGGAAGTACAAGTTACGTGAACCATTTTTGGATACAACACTTTTAATGTATCACCAGCCTTCACCATATAAGGCGCAGCATCACTTAAAAACAGCAATACATCGTTTCGTCTTATTCCGTCAGGCCATAATAAATAAAGTGAATTTTCAAATAGGGAACATATTGTACTATGATTTGTTTTCTGTAATTGTTCGAGGTTAAATAAAAAAATTTCACCTGGACGATCGAGGAGTAATGTACCGATAATAACTGAAGCAATAAAGCGGCCCTCGGCATCTGTTGTCTCATCTATTGAGACCCAAATTTTCTTTCCCGCTACTTTTTGTCTTATTTCGTTTAAAACTTCCTGGTAACAATGGTCAACATTAACTTTGCGTAATGTTGTTTGATCTGGAATATTTTGTCCAGTATATTTTATCAAAAATTGTTTGAAATATGTATTACTTAATTTATTTAACGGGATGTTAGCACTAAGCATGGCTTTACATAAATCATTATTAAATGACGATTTAGATGACGAATCTTTTGAGATAATAAGTTGCTGAGTTTTTTTTTTGTTTTCTGTACGATTAACTCCTCTTTGGTGTTTTTCAGTGGCTATGTGTTGTGTTACAGAAAAACGTTTATCACTCGCAATTTTAATATTGCATACTGTACAAAATAAAATTTTACTGTCTGTTGTAAATATATTTCCAAATTCAGAAACGTAGTTTCTTAGACGGGTTGCAACCGATATTTTTTCTTTTGGCATTTTAAAATATACAGTACAACTAGAAATATAAATAAGGAGCTAGTAGGTACTGATTAGGCGCAATAAAATAATAAAATAAACAAAACAAAACTATAACACTCGAATTACGAACAAACGCACATCACGGATCGGCGATCACATCGAACTAATAGAAATAGGTATTATTTTTACAATTGTTGTCCATCAGGCATCAAGTGCAAGTTAATATAGGTAAATATTATTTTCCATTTATTTATATTTATAGACCACAACAATACAATAATAATTATTAATTAATAATACTGATCTTGGACAATATTCGGCAAAATAAGAAAACAACTATTTATACCCGAATTTACGTGTAGTCAACCCAACTAAAAATAGAATAAAATGTTCAAAAATAATAAAATTTCTATAAAAGATAGTTAGATTATAAATACATTTTATATTATGTATTTTATATTTTAGACCAAATTGACCGAAAAAGTATAAATATTAAGAAAAAAGCATTAATACGAAAAAAGTATAAAAACATGCATTTATATGCCCTAACTAGTTAAATATGCAAAAATATGCACTATAAGATTTCGTATTTTAATTATTAGTAACACAATTCAAATTTTGGCCGAATCCATTTTCTTTTATGATGTAGCAAAAAAAACATGCAAATGCATTAAATTCACAGCCCTGCATATAAGGTTCAACAAAACTTTCAGGTGATGCTGGTATTTTATTAATAATAATTGTGTTCATATTATTACTTGAACGGTGTATATATTTATCACATTTTTAGGATAAACGTTCGAAAATATACTAAATAGGAAATATTGTCAGTTTAAAATTAATATCCCGCGGTGTGCCGAGAAAGTTTTTGATGAAGCTGTACTATATTCTATATATATATGTGTGCGGATAGGTACAAAATGTACATCTCGCTTATAAAGAAAAAAAGTTGCACTAGCCGTGTATCTATATACGAAAAGGTTTGGCGAACGCCAAAACTTTTTTAATCACGAACTAAACGGGATATAATCACCGACAACGCGTAGTATTATAATAATAATAATGCTAATAATTAAAAATCTCTTCTCATTGATTGACTATTGTATACGCGCATTTTATCCGGATTTTTTTTAAAATTTCGAACCTGTATTCTAATTAGAAAAAATATTTTAAATTACAATAGTTACGATATCACGAGTCATCTATAATATGTTCTAAAATCCTAAATATAATATGAAGTTACACATTATTACGCGAGTAAAGAAATTAAAACCGTTATAAAAAATAACAAATATCTGTGTATAATAACTTCGCTCCGTTTTTATACCGATAGTGGCGATAATAATAGTAATGAATGCACTTTTTTAAATTGTTTTCGGTTAGTCAAAATGCTCAAATTTGTACACCCACTAATATCCCAAAATATGTGGATTTTTTGCTTAAAACGGTATTTTATTTGAAATATTAAATCGACATTTCGTCAGTTCATCCTCTAGGTCATATTTTCGGTTGATAACAAGCGAACAAATTTAATTAAATTTCGCCGTCGAAATTTGATTCGATCTGAATAGAATTTTAACATTTTTCGAGAAAGACAAAAAACCATGATGTCTGAAAAAAAAATTAACGAAAATCAAATGTCACGTTGATAACAACATTAATGTCATAGTGTTGGATATCGTCTGTACGTCGCTAAAGTCATTTTACGCGATAATATTATAAAACTCTAGCGTCGTTTGTCTTTTTGGAACGAATATCATAATTTGCGCCCGAGCTTTTTCCGTGTTTCGCTATTCACATTACTTCACACTGGTGTCATAGTATTAGTATGCAATATTTTACGCACGACGAAACACACACGTCAACGCCGTGCCGCCGAACGGACAGAATGGGGAAAACGGCGCGAATAATTCCGCGGAAGTTTTTGAGTTGTTGCGGCGGGCGTTTTATTCGCGCATCCGTAACGTATACGCCGCGGCGTTTATCGGCCTGGTGGAGGAGGCGGGAGGGGGAGGGGGAGACCGAGAAGAAAATAAAAAAAAAATAAAAGATAAATGTTTTTAATCTGAAATTGACCCCGTCGGGTTTCTCCGCTCTCTTGTATAATATTATTCTTATATTTTTGTTTCCGCGCCACCGAACTTTTGTTTTCAATCAGCGCGTGTACCCGGATGCGCGCAGTATTTCTTGTAAGAAACACACGCTGCGGGAACGGCGGCCGGAGCGGTCCGCGACCCGGCGGTATAATTCTGCCGGGAGAGAAGCCGAGCTCTTCGCTGTGATTTAGGACTCGACCGCGAGCGAGAAGGTTTATTTATGAGTCCCGAAACCCTAATCGATATATATATATATACAAACATTTTATTCGGTTCGCGATGCCGATGAACACTATGGAAATGCCTTTTAACGATATTTAATCCGATTGACTTGTCCTCCGTCGCCGGCGGACGTGTTCTTCCCGCGTCGATCGGATACGCCGATTATGCGCGATAATATAATAATACGCGTACGGTTTGATTAAAGAGTCGAAAATCCGATTTCCCTACCCCGTCCGTTACACGTTAAACCAAAAAGGTTTAGGATTTAACGAATAAAAACGGCTGAAAATATTACGGGAGGATTTTTTTTTTTATATATATACGAGTAGTTTATTACATATTACGATTATTTTGTTACTTTTTTTTTTTTTTTTAATACAGCTTTTATCTGTTTAATATCGAATCTCATTGCCTTGCGCTATATAATACACACACTCGTTTAAGGACAAAAAGTGATATTAAATCTGAACTTCGTTTTTTATTTGTTTATTATTGTCCCGTATTAATTATTTATATTCTCTAATAGTCGGATAGTACCCACGAATCAGGATATATATATGATAGGATTCCTGAAAGTTCCTGAAAGTTCTTCGTCAAATAGACATAGAACGCTAAAAACTAATCTGCGATAAAAATTTCAACAAATTACTTACCCGTTACTTATATGTGATAGCAGTATTTTTGAGTTTTTAACAGTAAACATATTCAATGTAATAAATAATACCTAATACTTTGATACTAAAAAAATTGAACTAATTATTATGTCAGCTAAATATTGTGTATCAAATTTCCATTCATTGGCAAAATTAAAAAGTTTATTAAATAGTTTTATCTGTCTTTTATTGTAACGTATAAAGTTTTAGTATTTAGTATTTAAAATACTTAACTTATATTATAATATTATTAATAAATTAATGATGTTTATATACGAGTACAAAAAAAAATATTATTTGTCGAATAATGTGTTTTTGTACTATACACATTAATCTAATAATTCTAATGTTGTGGGAAGTGACAATAGATATTTAATATAAATTATAATTTACTAGTATATTAATTTATGCATTCATTATGAATTATGATAAAAATCATGATTTAATATAAATCGTCATTCTTGATGTAGACCATCTAGTCCTAATCTGTAATCACAACTGATAACATTTTTTTGTGAGCCAGACTATAGTGAAAACTCGATACTGCCATACTCAAGTTCTAAAAGAAGTTCCGTATAAAATCTCATAAGTGTTCATTACGTATCCTATGTATCTTAATTCGTTGTAATACCTGTAGTATGATAGAAGTAAGAACATTACTAGCAAAGCTATAAAAGTTAACCAATTTTTTTTTTAACTTGTTTAAATTAGATTATTCGGAATGAAAAATAACTTTTCGAAGATAAAGTCAATTTTAAAATATAAATGAATTTGAGTAACTAAGTTATTATTTTCCTGAAAATGATAACTTAGTTAAGTTAAAAGTTAAAAGCAACATTTTTAAAACTACATCCATTATACTATACACTCATAAACATATTTTATACTCTAATATTTAGAATTGTATAGCTTTACTGTCCAAGATTCGATTGGTTTGTAACTATAATAATGATAATAACGTATAATGGACGTAAATGAAAAAAAAGAGCTATTACTGGTACGACTTATAATGAACCTCCTGTCGAATTTTCAAACATTTCTATTTAGTCTAACAATTTCATTCACAGAGTACTGACCAAATAAAAATTACGTAAAAAGACAAAATTTAAAATAATAAAAGAACTATTTTCACGTTCTTTTTAATATTGTATATATTGACATATTGTATGGGTATAGGTATGGGTGGGTGTTATATTATAACTCGAAATATTGCAAATATTTACAAAACGTGTCTGTTGAATACACATTCTGACCTATATTAAAGCAAAGACGTCGTTCCAACGACGGAATGGGGCGAGGGATCTGGCGGTTAGACGAAAAAATACGGTAATAAAAATTATTAACAGGTTTCATTATAGTTTTTATTTTTATATGCGGTTTTTTTAGACGCAGACGCCGGCAGAGAAGTTAATGTATACAGAGGGTCGAAAATATAGTGATTCGTATCGGGGGAACCAGTGCGGGGAAAGAGAGAGAGGCCAGGGATAATGAGATAAAAAGTTGGGTCTACTCGGGGGACTCTAATGCGGGAGATGTACGAGAGTAATTGCCACACATCTGCCGGTGTTGTCCCTTTCAAAAGTCAACAGGCAACCGCGGCTAATTTCCCAAGAGGTAATAACTACCGCTGTATAGCGCCGCAGTAAAGATTTTTCTATTACGCCGTTCTTTTGTCCCTCGCCGCAGTCCCCCCCCACCCGCCTCGCCATCCCACCCGCTCTGTCACACTCCCGCCGACCAGGATTTCCCCGTAAGTCGTATCAGTGCTCCGCTA